CGCGGCTCCCAACCTCCTGCACCGCATCCCCGCCGTCCTCCCCACCGGACTGCGCCCGCCTCCCCGACGCCGCGACGCCGCCCCGTCGTCCCCGTCTCCTCCACGCCGGACCTCCTCGACCTCCTCCCCGGTGGCCTACACCGAGCCATGCCGACCCTCTCCCCGTCAACGCCCGTGAGGCCTCCCCTCCTTCCCCATCTCCCTCTTTCCTCTCTTGCGTCGCGGCCACCGCGCCCCCGACCGGGTCCGGCCACGCCCGCGGTCACCACGCCCCTCCCCGCCGCCCTCGCGCTCAGGCCGCACCCCCCCGTCGTGCTCTTCGTCCCGCGGCCGCACCGCCCGCTTGCGCCGCCCTTTGCCGCTACCTCGGACCGCCCTCTGTTGCTCCCTGCGCAGACCACGCTCGCCCGCACAGCCTGTGCTCGCCGCCCCTGTCCCGCGCTGCTCGCAGGCATGTGCCCCTACCTACCCGCTGCACTCGCTGCAGCGCTGCTGCTGCTGCTTCTGCGCTGCTGCCCTTGCTGCTAGCCGCCGCTGTTGTGCCGCCGCTAATCTGCACCGACAGGTCGTCCACTGCCTAGCCCCGCACCATCGTGGCCCCACCTGCTGGCCGCGCTTGGTGCCGCCCCGCTCTGCTGTCCGGTGACCACGCGTCGTCGGTGCCCCGCACGCGCCCAACGGCGCCCTGCAACAGGCGCTATGGCCTCACCCGGCGCCCGGACGCCCGATAGCGCCCGTTTGGACGCTAGGGCCAATGACACGCGGGGCCCAGCCCCCTGGAACGATTTATAAAATATTAAAAAAGATTCTAAATAAAAACAAAAATAAAATATTAATTGATTAATTAATTAAATTAAATTAATTACATTTAATTAACCTAATTAACCAGTGTTAATTAATTAAACAGTAATTAGATTAGCTAAACCCTAATTAGATTAAACAGTTAATAACATGCGGGACCCACATGTCAGCTTGACTAGTCAACACCTCTATTGACTGATGGCATCATGCTGACGTCATGCTGATGCAATAATACTAATTTCGAATTTAATTAATAAATTAATAAATTAGAAAATGATTTAAAACTTTAAACATTAATATAAAATAATCCGTAATTCGATGAAAAAACTTTGTACATGAAAGTTGCTTAGAATGACGAGACGAATCCGGATACGCAGCCCGTTCATCTGCCACACATCCCTAACCTATCGAACTCGCAACTTTCCCCCTCCGGTTCATCTGTCCGAAAACACGAAACACCGGGAATCCTTTCCCGGATGTTTCCCCCTTTTCCCGGTATCACTTAGTACTACGTTAGGGCACACCTAGCACCGCGTATTGCTATGTTATGCCTTGTGTTGCTTTGATTGCTTTGTTATTTATTGTGTTCCCCTCCGTTATTTCTTTCCGGTAGACCCCGAGACTGCCGGGGACCCCCAGTACGACTACGGCGTTGATGACCCCTCCTTCTTGCCAGAGCAACCAGGCAAGCCCCCCCTTTGATCACCAGATATCGCCTATTCTTCTCTCTACTGCTTGCATTAGAGTAGTGTAGCATGTTACTGCTTTCCGTTATCCTATCCTGATGCATAGCCTGTCCTTGCTACTACTGTTGTTACCTTTACCTGCAATCCTAAATGCTTAGTATAGGATGTTAGTGTTCCATCAGTGGCCCTACACTCTTGTCCGTCTGCCATGCTATACTACTGGGACGTGATCACTTCGGGAGGTGATCACGGGCATATGATATATACTTATACTGTTACATTACTTATGATACTGTTCGGAGATGGGGGCTGAAGGGGCAGGTGGCTCCATCCCGGTAGAGGTGGGCCTGGGTTCCCGACGGCCCCCGACTGTTACTTTGAGGTGGAGCAACAGGGCAGGTTGAGGCCACCTAGGAGAGAGGTGGGCCTGGCCCTGGTCGGCGTTCGCGGATACTTAACACACTTAACGAGATCTTGGTATTTGATCTGAGTCTGGCCATTGGCCTATACACACTAACCATCTACGCGGGGACAGTTATGGGCACTCGACGTCGTGGTATCAGCCGAAGCCTTCATGACATCGGCGATTAAGCGGCGCGCGCCGGATTGGAACGTAAGCCTGCTCTTGTATTAAGGGGGCTAGTTCTGCTGCTGGCCGCCCACGCAACATGCAGGTGTGCAATGGGCGATGGGCCCAGACCCCTGCGCCATAGGATCTAGACCGGCGTGCTGACCTCTCTGTTGTGCCTAGGTAGGGCTGCGCCGTGTTGATCTTCCGAGGCCGGGCATGACCCAGGAAAGTGTGTCCGGCCAAATGGGATCGAGCGTGTTGGGAAATGTGGTGCACCCCTGCAGGGAAGTTAATCTATTCAAATAGTCGTGATCTTCGGTAACAGGACGATTTGGAGTTGTACCTTGACCTTACGACAACTAGAAACGAATACTTAATAAAACACACCCTTCCAAGTGCCAGATACAACCGGTGATCGCTCTCTCACAGGGCGACGAGGGGAGGACCATCGGTTAGGATTATGCTACATGATGCTACTTGGTGGATTTACCTTCTGCTCTCTTCTACATGCTACAAGATGGAGGTTACCAGAAGCGTAGTCTTCGATAGGACTAGCTATCCCCCTCTTATTCCAGCATTCTGCACTTCAGTCCACATATGATGCCTTTTCCATTTGATACCAATGCATACATATGTAGTGTAGCTCCTTGCTTGCGAGTACTTTGGATGAGTACTCATGGTTGCTTTGCTCCCTCTTTCCCCCTTTCTATACCCGTTTGCTGCGACCAGACGATGGAGTCCAGGAGCCAGATGCCACCGTCGACGACTACTACTACTACTCGGGAGGTGCCTACTACTACGTGCAGCCCGCTGACGGCGACCAGGAGTAGTTTAGGAGGATCCCAGGCAGGAGGCCTGCGCCTCTTTCGATTTGTATCCCAGTTTGT